TTTCAATTTAATAGTTGAATAAATCGGAGAGACATAATATTAACTAACAGCAGATTACTCCAATTTATAAATTTGTTATTAGAAAATGTACAAAGATGGGCTGCTAAATGAGTCTTAAAGAGGTTGGCTCCAACTTTGGGAAAGCAAGTACTATTATACTTTGAGTCTTAAATAAAGTAACTGTTAATAATTTAGAAAACAAAGTCAGTGCATGCAACCACAGCCCATAGGTCAGACTTAATTGGACCATTCCTTTATTAGTTTAAAATTGGTAACAAAGAGATGTCAAATAGAATTAGTTTCAATTTAATTTGAAGTTATAATATATAAGTATCTCAATGATGTAACTGATGAAGAATATTCCCAAACAAGGATTGTTTTATATTCATTGAACCTTTTATAGAAGTCTAAACATGTAATGGACAGATCAATGCGGTCACTTACCTTACGATTACTGAATTTTATATTAATATAAATGACTTGTAAGTCAAAAATTTCGGCAAATTAATAATTGCCCTCCAAAGTTTTTTCTACATATATTTAGCTTCTAATGAAAACACATTCTGTAGATATATAATTAACCTAATTATTAGAAAATGTAAATTGTTAGGTTATTAATAATCTAATACAGCCATTAGCCAATATAACACCGACTTTTATTCATGTAGTTAATAATCAACATTTTCATTACAAGCTAAAAATATAAAGAAAAAACTTTGAAGGGTACTTAATAGTTATTCTCCAACTAATTACATGATAGAAACATTATGTTGTACCTAATTTTTATTTTAAGTTTTTAAATTAAATACATTTTTCTACTTTATAGTTAAACCTACATTAAATTTACTAATATTCATTTTTATATTACTATTCATATCTCTAAAAAATATATTTTTTCTTTATTAGCTATTATTTTTTAAATAATTTCTAACAATTTTTTTCAAGTTATTTAGATAAATTAATTGTTTTAAAAATTCAAAATAATTTATAAAATAAAAAAAGAAATAAAACTTAAATTTCCAGGTTTAAATTTTACATATCGGTTATCCATCGGTTCAATCGATTGGTCTTACTGTTTAGTGATTTTTTAAATATGAATATTTTTCAAAGTTTAAAATCAAATTATCGAATCACTGGATTAATTAGTTAAATTGCAGGTTTGGGTCAAAATTTAAAAACACGGTTCAATGCAAAATATTTTATACATACATTTTTTTTTCAGATTAACAAAATATTTATTAATTATTAATGAAAATTTTCATCAAAAAATATAAACGCGGATCCAGTGACAGTATTATTTCTTAAATATTTCCGAATCTTATGAGAAATGTACAATATTATTGAACTTGCCATAGAAATCGATACAGCAAAATTAAAAGGAGATTCAGTTTTCTCTCTTTTAAAAGCTTATTAACAAAAGAGAATATGACTTACTATCTACTAATCAAGGTAGAATGGATCTATATTATTTAGAAAAAAGAAATTTTCTCTTTTATTTTTCAGAAGACGATCTTTAACAACTTGAAGCGTAATTGTTTAGTGATTCACATGTTGTATTTTTATGAAAATTTAAGTAAATATAACACTGGACAAACAGAGGAGCTACTATTGACTACTACTTCACCACTAAGCAAAGCCTCCTTCAAAGAGGCCAAAAGCTTTATTTTACTTCTGTTCAAGAAGATCTTACAAGTCATGTGCTTCTGTTAAAAGTGATTTGATTCTCTGCATCTATAAAAAGTTATAAGAGAAAATACACGGTCGAAATGATTTTAATACGCGTTGGCTGAAGAAAATGATTTTGTTCTGTTACCTGTAATATTAGAGATCCGATTGTAATAAATATATTTGAACATCTCAATTGTTTTTCAGACATTACAGTTTAAACAAAAGTGGTTTACTAGATTTAACATTTTAATGAAATGACGCCTTTTGTACAAAAAAAAAACATTTTAATGAAATGTCACACAACCTTTTTTTTTTGTTAACAATCTTATGTAATTATATATCTGATTCCAAAATATTAATTATAATCTTGTGTCATCCAGTGATTTTGAAAATTTTAATTGGAATAACTTATTATTTAACTATAGTAATAAAGAAAAATATTTTTTTTGTTACCGAATTAGAAAAACGAATTATGGAGAATTTTAGTTGTTAATAAAAAAAGGCTGCGTGACATTTCATTAAAATGTTTTTTTTTTGACAAAGGGCTTCATTTCAAAAGGGTTTCATCAAAATATTAAAATCCATTAAAAATGTTAAAAGGGATAAAAATTATTGTATTATCAAACATTTTACTTAGTTATATACTCCGAGAATTCGTCAAAGAAGAAAACAACCATTTTAAAGCAATACCAATGAACCATCATCGATAAACAATACAATTGAAAATTTTAACTTCACTTTTGTCAATCAAATTGGACAAATTAATTGCTCCAGTACTCCTTTCTGAAATTTTTTTTGTGATATTCCTATCCAAAACTGCCCGAAATTGAAACTAAATAAATCAAATCAGAAAAATTATTAAAAGACTATGGAACCAACATAAATTTACATAATTACAATTTAATTAGGATCATTTCACAGACTATCCAGACCAGATCCATAAAACTTGGATCTCTTTCTTCATAACTTCCGCAAACTTTGTACGATTTGGTGTAATTGTAAATTTTGGTGTAACTGTACATCGTATAAAACTTCGACTAATATAGACTGTATGAGTTACACAATTATTCTAAATTGAACTAAATAACACTTTTTTATTTGCAAAGTTCGACTAGTTTTCATTGTATCTTTTACATTTTCATTATGTTCTTTTATGGAGAAAGTGTTGTTAATAATATATTTATTGAAGTTAAAATAAATAAAAATTATTTTATATAGAAAAACTAGAGAAACTATATTATATGAAATGTATATTTCATAAACTTAGTAAGTGTAGATAAAAAGTACATGTCATAACACATAAACACACAACTAATCTTCAACTGGCCAATTGACAACGGTCAAATGAATATCATTGCAGAAATCCCAAGCTGCACATTGCTAGAAACAACGATTGCATCTCCACCGTGTTCTAGATCCATCTAAGGAGACTACAAACACCGGTTCTATTACTGCGGAGCACCAACAATCATGTGAGACGTTGAGATCTATTCTTTCTAGTAAAGATATAAACACCTCAGGTTTTCCATAACCCCAATGGCTTGAGGATACCAAAGTCATGATCACGTAATTCATCCGATCAACAAATTCATGATTAAAGCTATGATAGTTGTGTCCTTTATCATCAATACAAAACGCTAAGTTTAACATTCCATCTACATACTTGACCAACAAAAATCCTCTCACACCAGCAAGATGAATTTTTTCCCTTCTTTCCTCGCATGTAGATGGCCTCTAGATTACCAGATTGGTAGCACCTAAGCCTAAATGTCCTAACAACATTAGCCTCATCAATCCAGTCATTCAAGTTAAAGAGATCTGCAGATCTGTAGAAGTATTATTCTCTTCCAATTTGATTGAACCCGGAGAAAGCAACTCTTACACTACTGAAGTCCTGGAGATCCTTTGCTACCTTTGAGAGAATCTTATGAAGCATGGAAGAAGAGAGATAAGTCAAGTTAAAGTTCGACATGGAGAGATTTTCGTTATATATATTTGGACAAGGTGATAAACCCTTTTATAATGGGGATGATCCTCTAACCGAAATACAAGTAGTAGAAACTTCAACTGATGTGAAGAGATAAGTATAAACTGAGTATTTATTACCCCACTTGGTGATTTGATAGACGCCTCTAGAACACACGAATTCAGAAGACACGACTTCTCAGTTAACAACAAGCGCATGGGTAGGATTTGAAACTTTGTAAAACCCTAATCGATAAAGATATATAACTGTGTATAAGTGAAAGTAACTGATTTAGATTGTCTAAATTCATGAAATTAAGCACAATTTTAACAATTTAGAATGTCTAAATATATGAAACTATATAAAACGTTGAGAAAATTAAATTGTCTAAATTTATGAAACTACTATAATGACAACAACTAACAGTATAAGAGATAATAAATGAAAATGATAATATTTAGTTTGAGAAAGATCCTGTAATTAATGATTCAAGCAGTGACATGTCCATCTAAGGGTGATTTGATTGACTCCCTGAGAAAGCACGACTTCTCTCACACGCCTTCTGACTGCTAAAGTCGTATCTCTTGAATTTGAAACTTTGTATAACTTTAATTTATTAAGATTTATAACTATGTATAAGTAAGTGAAACTAAGTGATTTAGATTGTCTAAATTTATGAAACTAAAAAAAACGTAATAATTTAGATGGTATAAATATTTGTAACTATGTAAAACTTGTTATACTTTAGTGAATATATTTAATGATCAATATCCAAAACTTATTATACTTAGCGAATATATTTAATGACAGAAACTAGCAGTATATGATTAATGATTTATTACCCCAACTTCCATTTTGTAGCTCTTCTATTTATACGTGATTTGATGGATTTCTCAAAAGAACACGGCGTCTCTCATGAAAAAGTATCTTATAACAATTATTACACTTGCATTTAAACGCCAGAACACTACACCGCCTATAATCATCATCACCATTGCATTTAAACTCCACCACAGTAAGTTAAATCGTCTCCTTCAGTCCAGATATAACATTTCTCTGCAATATTCACCTAAAATAAAAGCAAAGAAAAGATTCATCATCTACCCTCTCAACAAACAAGATGACACACACAATAAATTTTCTAGAAGTTTCTTATAATCCCAAGATCACAGCTTGGCGCTTCAGAGTCAAAATACACAGGATTTACCTTTTCTATTCCTATGTTACCAGCAATGGACCTTTCTATACCTATGTCCTAGCAGATGAAGAGGTACGTGTTAAATCATCATCTCTCAAGTTTCTAATAACATGTAACCGTGAAAAATAAAAACTTGATCCTTGTACTTTATTTATGTATGGAACCAAGATGGAGATGATCATTTATAGGGATTATGATAGGTTTAGAGGCCTAGAGAAGCAAGAGAGAAAATGGGTGGAAATCTTTGTGGTAGAAGTTAACCGTTCATATCCAAGTTCCCAGGCAACTAACTCTCAGTTCAAAATAACTGCTACGCGCTATACGCAAGTCCACAACATCGATCTTCTGAATAATCGGCTTTTCATGGACTTCAAGAACATCCATGCAATCCCTCACATGAACCACATGGACCGAAACTATCCCATAGGTATGAATGCAACTAAAATTTAAATACATTCACATATTTAGATTTATGAAACTAAGATAAACAAAGAAAAACGTAACACTTGTCTGGTAGATATAATGGGAGTGGTCTTCAACACGGAAGCCTATTTTGATGAGCCTGCAAGTCCAAGGATGGTGTTTTACATAAGGGACATGGACAACATGTAAGTAGAAAGTAACATATGATCAAAGCAAAATTGTCTATACTGTAACTGACACATTTTTTTTCATTCTGAATAGTGATAGTCAGATAAAATGTGTGGCAACTGGCGATCATGTTTATGCCTTCCGGGATCGTCTTGAAAACATGAGAGGTTGTGGACAGGTGATTGTGGTCCTTAAGATGTGGAGGGTATGGAAATTTATGAGTAAGTATAGTTTATGTGTCTAGTTTTAAATGTGATAGTTGAGTAAAACGTTTACTAAAATCATTTATATAGGTTATTTTGGTCCTCCTGATCTATGGCTTGAGACCGAGGGTGGATTATGACTTCAGGTTCAATCTGCGTTGCTGGAGGTTGAAGAGTTCAGGTAGTCTCTACTATGTAGTGACCCTTATGTTTTGTAAATCTTGTTGTTTTCAATGTTATCCATCTTCGTACTTGTCTTAAATTTGGCGCAACTTTATTTAAATGTTGGTGAAACTATGTCAAATGTTGGTGAAACTTTGTAATTTTAACTTTTTAAAATTTTTCAACTTCGAAAAAAATAAATGAGCTAGAGTTTGTGCTCGTATAAACTGGTAAAACTTTGTGTTTTCACTTAATCAATTGTCCAACTTTGTAAAATTTGGAGAAAATTGAATATTGCATGCACGGTTTTAGGTATAATAGTGATCGTTTTAGGGGGTGGCACTGTGACTTTTCCAAACACCCCATACTTTAAGTTGTACGAAGTTACATTACATTTCCAAAGTTCATATGACACTTTACCATTTACCTTATGAAATATATTGTTGAGTAGATAGTTTGTGTGGTAAACACCGATTCCTCCCATAGATTGTGTGCTAGATCAGATTCCTACAACACATCATTTCTTTCAAAGTTTGGTTCGTTCTTTCTTTCTGCAATTCCGTCTTATTCTCAAGAGGAAAGAATTGTTTGATTGTTTGATGAATAATATCGTTTACTTGACAAAGGTCTTTATAAGTCTATATATTCTTTGATTTTGTTCTTTCGTAATAGCATTGAAAGACTTGTCTTATTCATCTCCACTATAATTTTGACTATTTTGATAGTGTATTTCAGCTGTTTTTTAACTTCGAGTTTGTACTTTCTGAATTTATCGGAGACTTCTTACTTCATAACAAGTAAACGTGTGAGTATTGTGCAGTCTTATATGATAGTCATACAGATTTTTTTATCACCTCTAGTTTGTAGATGATTCAAGTCGTACAGATTTGTGTGTATTAAGCATGTTTAGTTGTTTATTCAACATGAGATGATGGAGTCTTCGTAATTTTTTCTTGCACATAAAGTTCACATTTACATTTACTAATTTTGGACATGTTCATTTTCGTTAGTCTTTGTACAGACTTATAATTCTTTTTTTTTTACTTATAATTCACATGTCCTAAATGTTCATGTTCGTGCCAATGATACAAACAATTGTGTTCTTATTCACCAAAACTTTGGAAGCAGGTATGTCAAAACAATGTGAAAACTACCACACACCCGCTTGCGAACATCAAAACAATAGAAAATCTTCTAGGAATGCAATTGTGAATTAGCAAACAGATTTAAGATTTCTGGGAGAGGATAAAATTTGAGCCATGTTTAACTGCCGTGACATTCAATTCACCATACACCGGTGAACCTAAAATTTTTGCCAAAATTCATGTTGAAAGAGTATTGTGAATGATTGCCCAAGATATGCTATGTACGCAGTAGATGGTACAAAATTTTCCATCTCTCTCAAACGAAATTTAAGGGTTGAACATTAGTATTGATTAATTTTATGCTTTTTACAGAACCTAAAACTTAAAGATATACATCCATTGAGACACCAAAATCACTATGGCTCTCATTCTCTTTCTTTTCTCATTAGACAAGAACTACAACAATCCTTGCAAAACGCCGAGATACACCAAGAATATAACCCCCTTCCCGACAACAAACTTTGTCACGCTTAACTATAACTACTCCTAGTCAAAATAAAAAAAAAATATTTGAGGCTCATATAATTTCCATCATTTGTAGCTTAAACTAAACAAATATAATTGTGAAACGCAGATAAACCATTAGTTAACAATAATTTTTAGCAAATTGAAAATTTGAACTCGATTTTAATTCTTCAATGGTTATTTTTCAATATTTTTTTTTAGTTAACGTTAAATTGATTAAAAAGAAAATATGGTTTTTACAACTTTTTTAATAGACAAAAGAATATGACTCATCTGGTGGCTAGCCACACTTTGTAACATTCGTCACATTTCATATCTCCCATCAATCTAATTGTAGAAATTCGATTTCTCACTGCCTTGTCCATCACCTTCTATAAAGTTAAAGAGCTCACCGGTTATCCAGAATATTTGAGGAAGAACATGTTGTCTATCAGTCTATATAAGCTACTACACAAGAGAATTTTTTTTTGAGCACACACAAGAGAACTATCTATGTAATACACAGAAGACCGGTGTATGTGAGACAAAGTGTTACTCAAGAGTCGTTATGGAGAGCAAAACGGATCACTGAAAAGGAATATGAAGTCACGGTTTACTGATGACGATATTGACATTGGAGTCTATTATTCAGCAGTGGGAAAAAGGCCGGTTAGATGAGCGTCCAGTTTATAAAAGGGGTTATACAGAATACAATAGCTTGAGACTGTTTCATAATCCATGTACATTAACGTCATAGATCAAAAATAATTTGTAATGGCCATGTTGAAATTGTAATTGCTTTCTTTTTGAATAGAATTGTATACGAATTTAAGTACAAGGAATATATGAAGAACTCAAACTCGTGCAATAATGAAAACTAGGAAAGGGAAGAAGATCTAACATTTGAAGATTGGAGTTAAAGCCTTCATGTTGCCTAAAAACTGGCCAAAAGTGAGTTTTCTGTTATAATCAGGTTGGCTAGATTAGATACCTCCAACACAAGGATTTAAAAGAGTATCTCACTATTAAATGGAAAAGTCGCATAAAAAACTATGAAGTTGACAAAGTTTACATTTTAAACTTTCGAGCTCAGCTGCTAATACTTTAAACAATGAAACTTGTTTCAATAGCATATTAAACATCGAAACTACTTTACTTGTTACATACGTCAAAATTATGACCAGTACTACTCATTAGCAGGTAAAAACTGGTGATGTGGCGGTTTACTTTTACCAAATATATATATATATATTTACTTATTCTAATTAATAAAAATAAATAAATTAGATAAAATTTCAATCTAAATTCTAAAAATTTATACAAAATTCAAGAAAATATTAAAAATAAGAAACATTCTGGAACTACAAAGATAGTTATTAAATCAGCACATGTAACGCACAGTCGGGTTGCTCACGCAGCGGCACTAGTTCATGTTGCTTGCAGCTTCAGTATAATTCATATCCCTTGTTGGTATGTGAGTAAGTTGTTGCATGAATGGTCAGGTAGGTAAGCATAGCAGTATTCAGTATTCCTGTTTATGCATGTATCCCTGCGGGTTGTCTAAACAAAATCAGAATTCATAAATTCAAAAAACTATAATAAAAATAAAAAAATGAATTATAAAGATCATTAAAACCAAAGGATCCGAACCCATGAAGTTCGAAAAAATTGGCAAAAACAATGACGTTCACAAAAGTTTACATTTTCAAGTGCATTGTTGAGTCAAAATCTCTAGAATCCGAAGGATCCGAACCCGGACACCCAACCGCTCATATGCCTACCTAAAAACCAAAGAGATTTGGATTCAAGTACTTTTCATTTTCAATTTTCAATTTTTAAGTTTTTAATATTATGAATTTTCATTGTTTTCCAGATTTTTATAAATTTTCTATATTTATATTTTTATCGATTCTACAATTAATTAATTTTATTTTATCTTTCGAGTTTCTAAAATTTATTTTTATTTTTATATTTTCACATAATTTTTGTATTTTAATCATTTTAAAAAATATTCTTATTTTTCTTATAATTTTTTAGTTTATAAATTTATTTTTACTATTAATATTTTAAATTTATGAATTATATTTATTTTTCTTAATTTTTTTTCTTGAATTTATATCAATTGTTAGAATTTATATTGAATTTTTACCTAATTTTATTGTTTTATTAATTAAAAAAAGAAAAACGTAAACCGCTACATCACTAATTTTACCTACTAATGAACAGTAACCAAACCCAATTTTAACGTGTGTAATAAGTAAGTTAGTTTCGATGTTTACTGTGCTATTGAAATAAGTTTTGATGCTTAACATTCATTCAAAAAAAAAAATTATTGTTTAAAGTGTTAGAAGTTAAACTCCAATATTTTAAAGAGAAATTTCTTAAAATAGACTTAAAATTTTTTTTCTCACAAATATAGACCTTAAAATTAAAAATGACCAAAACAGACTTGAATATTTTATAAAAAAATAAGTTAATATATACTTATACCCTTTAGGTAAACTAATCATAGAGTTTTTTTATTTAGAGTTGAGGAGTGGAGGTTCTGGAGATATGATTTCAAAGTTTTAAAAATAAAAAAAAAATTTCAAAATAAAAAAATGTATTTTGGTCATTTTAGTTCTTGAGGTCTATTTTGTGATAAGATTTAGAAAGATCTATTTGAGATATTAGCCCTATTTAAAATGCAAACTTTTACCAATTTATAGTTTATAGCGATTTTCTCTTTTAAAAATGAAAAATATAACATGTATAAGAGAGGCAAGAGAAACTAAATCTATGCAAAGAAGTTCTAACTCACTTTTAAGAATTCATTAACGCCACTTGTCAATTTTTAACTGATTTCACTTAAAAAATTAATTATCAAAAATAACATTTTACAATAAGAACATATTTGGGTTAAGATACTCAATGAGTATGAGACCGTTAAAGTTACTCTTAATTTCTTTGTTTTAAGAGTTATTCTTGGGTTCACTCTATTTCACCAACCAATATGATGGTGTTATTTCATATTTGATATCTTTTTAAAAAGGAAATAAAATTTTGTTCTGTTATATTATGTTTTTAAAATAAAAATATAAAAATAAATAAAAATAATAAAATTTACAAAAAACAAAAAAAAATCTTTTAAAAAATATTTTAACACTAAAACACTAAACCCTTGGGTAAATCATAAACACTTTGGAAAAACCTTAAGCATTAAATAAAAAAATTGAGTATATGCAGTGTACACATTAACTCTTTCGGATAATTAGCTGAATACTCTTTTCCGTGTTACTCTGTTTCCATCGAAATAATACGGACCATTATACCCTTACATGTGTTAAATCCATCTGAACCTATTTTTATTTTATTTTTAAAAGCGATTATCTTTTAACTAAAGCAACACG